TGGCTGAAAATTTTTAAAGTCGGACAATAACCACGCCCACATCCCATATAACGGTAATTTCGAGAAATACAAAATCTTCGATAAATCAGTAAATATTAAAGCTAATTTATTCAAAATTGGTGGTTGCAACAATTATTTACCAAGAAATATGTTTATGATAAAATTTTGGAAAATGGGCGTGGCACCGCCCACTTGTGATCACATATATGTATCTCGCTAACCGTTCTAGCAATTTGTACCAAACTCGGTATGGTTATTGTGCTCGCCACATAAAAGCAAAACTTTAAAAATTATTGAAATCGGACTAAAATTACGGCCGCTTTTCATATAACGGTAAATTTCAAAAATGCTTGAAACTGCAATATTTCGAAATTTAAGGACGCTAATTTACTCCAAATTGATACACCCCCGCTTACCATCTAGCGGTAGGTTTCGGAAAGGTGAAAATCATATATTTAATACTTGCGCCGGGTATTTAATGTTCGGCTCCGCCCGAACTTAGACTTTCTTACTTGTTTTTTTTGCTAAACGGTTTTTATTCTTCTGTGTAAACCCTAGAGCACGGGAACAGGCTAAATGTGAATAAGAAAGAATAAACAAACTAATGTCAAATTAAACGCTGAGTTACTTAAACACCCCAATGAGAACACTTGACAGTTGTTCATAAACTTAAAACAACGGTGGGCAATCGCGGCTTTTTGAGCCAATTGCGGCTCTTTGCTTAGCAAAGTGCGGCCCTTTTTATTTTCTTTTTGCTTAGAACATTTTGGCTCTTTTTACTTTTTAAAATACATATTTCTTTGCTGGAGATTCTTTTCCATTGTGTTGCTTTTTTATTTTATCCTTTTTATATAAACATACGCAAATTGAGATCAAACAATACCCGCAATTGGAGAATGAAAATTGCCTTTATGACTTAATGTTCTCTACCGCTATGATGGAACATTTGCAAAACTTGAATTTGTCTCTACAAGGAGAGAATACAATTTTTTTTTGATTTGTCGCAAATTATTTTATTATTTTTTATATTATTTTTAATCTCAAAAAAAGAATATCTCATCATTTTCCAGGGCTAGAAAAAAATATTGCACATGATTTAAAAGCAGATTTTGAAAAAAGATTTGCCGATTGAAATTATTTAAATGTACGTTTGCATACTTCATAAACCCTTTTTTATGTAACAAAATTGAGGATGAATTTACAAAATCCGAAATATTCCTTTTTAAGAAAGGCGAAGAAAAGTTGGAGTTTTTAGAATTAAAAGAAGATAAGGCACTGGAAATGCAACATAAAGCCTTGCCATTGCTTGAATTCCGGCAACAAGTACCAGATTTAAAATACCCGCTGTTGAAAACAGCTGCGGGCCGTATATTTTAAATTTTTGGTACAACGTATAATTGTCAGTCTTTGTACTCTTCAAATAAATTCGTCAAGTCAAAATACCGTTCACAATTAGTTGCATTAGCGTGCCTGTCAAATATTGAAAGTTATCAAAAACTATCAGCTTTTTGCCTTCGCGTACGCAAAAAACTTGCAATATAGGGGAAATTGAGAGATCAAAGTGTAATTTAATTTTTAGGGGATGCTGTTAGTTTCTGCTGGAAAACTTTTTGCAACGAAAAAACAGCTGAGCGTCAACAATGCTTAAAGTATGTCGATTCATAGAAAAAAATGTTGTTCTTACAATAAACATTGCCCCGTAAGTGTTGTTTTTTAATAGCTGAAAAAGGCTTTTGCCAAATCCTCAGTGTTGTGATATTAATCCACCTCCAATTGATTCTATTAAAAAAAGAATATAAATTACGAATATGTAAAAACACGATGCGAAAAACTAAACGCCTGCGTACAGCTGGAATACGAGAAATATTTGAAGAAAGAGTGGAGAAATGATCCATAACATGCAAAACATTTTTCGTTTCTACAAAAATAAAGCGAACACTATTAAATTGAAGAAACAGTACATGTCCAAAAACCCCGGAGGAGCACTGAAAGAATTCTGTGTTTTAAATTAGCATATTTTGAACGAATTCGGAATGTCTAAGGTGGAAAAGAACCCAACCTTTCTATAAGGAAACAATTCTAGAAAAAGAATTTTCTTACACTGTATTTATGTCTCCGCCAGCAGTCATTTAAAAGCAGCTAAGGAGAACGACGACACTATTTATTAGATGGCACATTCAACGAGCCAATGTGCCAAAATGCGGGTATAAACAATTATTGATTATTTAATATCGGAACCGAGATCATATAAGTTAATGGATTGGTTTTCACACACTTTTGAAACACAAATTATATGCTTTTTTACTGGAGACAAGTTGTTGCCTCAAAACACAGCAGAAATCTTCCAATCAGGGCTGCCAACTCTCCTTAGTTTTGAGGTGCCATATTGAGGATAAAAAAGTACCAAAATGTGCCAAATAGAAAAATAATGTTTGAAAGAGAAATAATGTCAATTGATTTTATTTCGTTTTTAAAAAGGTAATAATGTCAATTGACTTTATTTCGCACCAAGGTGGGAAATAAAGTCAATTGACCTTATTTCCGTTGATCTTATTACCTGTCACCAAGTAATTATTCGTTTAGTCAGTTAACTGCGTCAGGATAAGACACAGATTTGTTTTCTTACGTTGTAAATTTTATACTTTTGAATGTAAGCAAACTTTTTAAAAGCTGTTCGTCTAACTTGCAAGTTTCAGCAAATTTTTTGTTCGCGTACTATTTTGGATATTTTTCTCTTGTGAGAGAACAGATGACATTTCGACGGAATTTTGCTGTTGAACATTTTTTACTGGAGATTTTGAACGAACGTTCCTATTTACAAACCAACATTTAACATAACTGTTACAAACGGCTTTAGCTGACATAAAACCAGATTTTGAAAATTTGGCCAAAGAGATCTTTTGAATTTTTTTAATATATATTTTACTTACATTAGTATAATAATAAAATTAACGTTTTTCATTTCCAATAATAATTTTATTTAAAAATAAAATTTTTGTTATTGTTGTTTTTTTTTGTGACTCTTTGTAGCATTTAAAACTAACATGTGGCTCTTTTCGGCCTCGGCCTTGCCCACCCCTGACTTAAAACTTTAAACTCGAATTTACGGTTCAACGTGTACATAGTGGTATAACCATTAAGATTTTCTTCTACTGCCAAGGCATATTTTTTTCAGTGTAGTACTGAGTAAAGAGATGGCGTACTTACCTTAATTATTAAAAAAAAAATAATAATTTTTACAGATTTTTTTCGATTTAATCTCAATTTGAAAGGTTTTTCGATATGAAACCGTCAATAACTACCAACTATGAAACTACGTTTAAATTAGATTGGAATATGATACTCCACTAATATATACGTTTTACATTCACTTTAAAAATCAACATTGAAAGTTGATAATTTTAATGAATATTCATTAAGAAGAGCGCTCTTTTTTGTACACACCATCGCATGTTTCTCTTTTCAGAGACCAGCAATAGTCCGCTAGCATGCTCAATTTATTCTCACCCTTAAATATTAGGGGTATTCTCGAAGTCTTGCTCGATGAACGGATTGCACGAAATGCAAAAAGACTATTCCAAATTTCGAAGAGTACGAGAGCACCCCATTGCAAAGTGGTAGCATGCATGGGTAACAATCAGCGAAATTATGTATCAAATACAATAAAAAGAGACAGCAAAAAAAAATGGAATGAGAGAAATATGTAGGAATTCCAACAACAAAACAACAAGCACAGGGTCGCTTTTAGCTTGCTATGCTATTTTGCAAAATATATACATGGGTTTCGACGTTGCATATTTTGCAGCGATAGGAAATGTTGTTTCCCATGTATTGGAGAATACCCCTATTTTCTTTACCGAATCCATATCCTGATGCATCCTCTCACCTTGTTCGTCACTTACCTGACCCAAGTTCTCAGGAAAATAACTTAAATGTGACATATTACACCCCATTTCAGAATATGCATTAAGAAACTCGTCAACGACGTTGACGTAATTAGCACTTTTTTTATTGCCCATGAAATTTTAGGTTAGCAAATGAATCTGTCCCATGCGCTATTTTCAACTGTACTTAATTTAGATGCAAAATGTTCGTCTTTCAATACCTTTCGAATTTGTGGTCAGACATATATCCCTAAGGTTGGAAATTTACTATATATAGCAGTGGCGGATTAACAATCTGGTGGGCCCTGGTGCGAAATTTTTTTGGGGGCCCTTTTCCATATAAATATTTTGCGATTAGAATACAGTTTGATCGTTATAAATTTAAATTGCGGTTCATGTAACATATTTGATCATTGGACGTTGTTTTGCTCTGTGCATTAAACGCACTACTCCATAATATTGATGTCATTTTATATTGACATTTTTTGGTTATTGTCATAGTCAGTGTTTAAAAAACTGCAATAACTTTCATTTCATTTGCTATCACTTAAACTTACTGCTCTGAACAACAAAGCAGTCGTAGTGTTTGTAGTGCCTTTTAAAAATTTTGATTTTGATTTGATTTTGATTTCGTCAGCGCAACAAGTCAAAGTAAGTAAGTAAGGTTTGCTTTTGCAAGTTTTATTCAGCAGCAGTCGTGAAATATGAAAATCAAACTGATTGCAAATATGTAATTTATAATATCAAGCAGCAAAGAAAAAACCTTGCGAAGTCGTCGGCAAACACAAAACAGCATCGCTTATTGCTTGCAAAAAGTTTGATTTTCATATTTCACGACTGCTGCTGCACACAACTTGCATAAGCAAAGAAAATCCAAATCAAATCAAAATCAACAGTTTGAAAAGGCGCGACAAACAAGGCGCCTTGCTTTTTGTTGCTTTCCAGTTTTTGATTTTGCATGAACTGCGACTGCTGAAAATTCCTAATATGGTAAGCACACGCAATTACTCATTTTAAAAAGCGACGATAAGTAAAATCAAAAATAATCAACATTTTCACGACTTTTGCTACTTCGACTCAAGTTTTTTAAACACTGGTTATAGTCATTTCGTAAACATGGATAAGTCTAGAAAATATAAGAGTGGAGCTGAAAAGCGCAAATTAAAAATAAATAAAGACGAACGCGATAAGCAACTGCTTTCTAAAATACCGAAACTAACAAGCCACTTCGCTAATGCGACGACAACTGTAAACGAAGCAAATTGTGACAATCCTGAGTTTTGTGAATCTACTTCTGATACTTTTTCAATTCCATCAACGTCAAGAGAGGTTAATTTCCAACATGTTGACAGCACGATCGAAGGTGTACAAAATCCGGACGATGTCGAAAGTTCGGTGAATGTATCAAAAATTGATGAAAATTCCACCAATGTGTTTTCAAATGACCCAGGTTTGTGGCCTATTCAATTCAATCAATCAATCGTTCAAACTTATTGGATTAAGAAGGGTATGCTATCGTTGGTATTTCAATATAAGAGTAAAAAATTAACACAGAATACTCTTATTTAGGTCCCTCATCGTGTCGCAATATTGATTTGATCGCAAAGAAATCTGGACAAAGAAACTTTTCTGAATATCATTTGCATCGGGTTTTACCAAATGGAACACAGACCGAACGTGATTGGCTGATCTATTCGCCGTCAGTCGATTCAGTATTTTGTTTTGCTTGTCGCTTGTTCGGTAATTTAGACGAAAATGCAAGTTCATTTGCTCTAAAAGGTTTCAATGACTGGAAACATTCAAAGCGTGGTATTTCAATTCATGAACAATCTCATGATCACATGTCCAACAATGTCAAATACAAAATGCGACTAAAAACCGATTCTTCTATAGAAAAAACATTCGAAAATTCACTTGTCAATGACATGACTTATTGGAGGAAGGTTTTGAGTCGTGTTGTAGAGGTTATCAAATTCCTAAGCTCAAGGGGTCTTGCGTTACGTGGTCACGATGAAATTCTTGGGTCCAAACATAATGGAAACTTTCTTGGATGTTTGGAGCTGTTAAGCAAATTCGATCCATTTTTGGCAGAACATATCACACGTTTTGGCAATAGAGGAAAAGGTATACTTCTTCAAAATAACTTCGAAAATGGTTTGTCTCTTCATTTGGTATGTTTTTTTTGCAGAAAGAGCTTCGTACCTTTCAAGTTCAATATGTGATGAATTCATATCGATTATGGGAAAAGGTGTGAAGGAAAAAATCGTTTCGGAGATAAAAGAAGCCCGTTATTATTTAGCATTGACTCTACTCCGGATGTGAGCCATACGGATCAGCTGTCACTATGTTTTCGATACGTAAAAGGCCGTGACATTCATGAACGGTTTATTGCTTTCATTCCAATTGAAGGTCACACAGCAGACTATCTTTTGTCTATCGTTTTGAATTTCCTAGAGGAGAGTAAAATTGACATGCAAAACTGCAAAGGCATTTTATTTGATAACGCTTACAATTTGGCTGGAATTTATGGTGGCCTTCAGCGTTTGATTATTCAACGAAATGAATCGGCGATTTTCGTGCCTTGCACTGCTCACTCACTGAACTTAGTGGGTAAAAATAGTGTTTCTAAAAACATTACCGCATCTAATTTTTTTGATATGATCGAAAAATTGTATGGTTTTTTTGTTTATTCATCTTTTCGTTGGAATCGACTCAAAGAACAATTGTCCGAGAAAGGCGAATTTATGTTAAAGAGAGCAACTGGCACAAGGTGGTCGGCTAAATTCCAATCAGTTCAAGCTTTGCACTCATGTTACTTGAAAGTGTTAACTGTTTTGAATTCTCTCATTTCTGAAAAAAGCCTCAGTGAAGATAACAAAGCATCGGCAAAAGGTTTGATAGCCAAATTGTGCCAATTTAAAAATATTTTAATGCTTGTCTTGTGGAAAAGTGTTTTGACTAAATTTAACTTTGTAAATTTAGCTTTACAAAAACCAAATCTGACTCTTTCGACGATCACAAAACTATATGCTTCAATAGTTACAGATCTTGAAAACAAGGATTACAACAAAATTTTCGATGAAGCCTTGACAATTTTCGACAATATTCCTTCTGATTTTCAAGCAGATTTTATTCAATCTCGTTCAACAGCGCAAGCACTTGTTCCAGAAGATGAGAAAGAAAATTTTAAAAAATCGTTATTCGAACCTGTTATCGATGCTCTGTTATCAAATTTGAAAAAACATGCTGATATTTATAATGATTTGGAAGACTTTTTCTCATTTTTAATAAATTTAAATTCAATGAGTGACGAAGACATTGCTGTATCATGTAAAAAAGTAGTCGAAAAGTATCCAAATGATCTCAATGAAGTTCAACTAACTGATGAATGTCAATTTGCCAAAAATTACTTTACTTTTGATAACTTAAATCATGAATCGATGTACAAAACAATGCTCGCTGATCATCTTTGTGAAACTTTCCCGAATTTAGACATTTTATTACGCATTTATTTATGCATGTTTGTCACTAATGTTACAGATGAAAGATCATTTTCAAAATTGAAATTGATAAAAAATTGTTTGCGTAATACTATGGGAGATGATCGTTTGAACAGTCTATCAGTTCTTTCCATTGAAAATAACTTGTTGGATGAATTAAACTTTGATAAAATTATTGATAAGTTCGTAACACTCAAGTGCAGAAAAGTTGTGGTTTAATTTTGTTGGGCAAATAAATAAAAATCTATCATATTATCATATGAATATTTTTTTTCATTGGCCCCCTTGAGTCCGGGGCCCTGTGGCAATGGTCCCAAAATTTGTTCGATAATCCGCCATTGATATATAGTATCCTGTGTTGGAGAAGATAATAAGAGCTTCAGCACTGAACCGCTTTGGAACAATTTTCTACAAGATCGTGCAATTGCTGGCTTATGCCAATGACATCGACATCATCGGTAACTAAAATCGCGAAGTATGTTCTGCCTGTTCCAAGTTGGATAACGAAACAAAGCGAATGGGTCTGGTGGTAAACGAGGACTAGACGAAGGTTCTCCTGTCATCAAACAAACAGCACATTCCCGCCTTGGCACCCACGTCACTGTTGATAATTTCGAGAAAGTAGAGAATTTCGTTTACTCGGGAAGCAGCATTACTTTGGGCTGAGTAGACAATTCAGGTGCACTCCATAAGTCACTCATCAAGCCGTGCTGGTATATGGCGCAGAAGCATGGACAATGACAACATCCAATGAGGCGGCTCTTGGAGTATTCGAGAGCAATCAGCTCAGATTATGCGGTAGTTGGCGCATATGGGGGGCGCGGGGTCGCCTTTCTTGTGGATTGGGCAGAGCACACTTAAATTCCAGTCGTCGGGCATGCGTTTATCTGACCATATTCTGCATACGAGCTGATGCATGCACCTCATCAGCTCCTCGCCGCCGTACTTGAATAGCTCGGCTGGCAGGCCGTCAGCTCCAGCAGCTTTGTTGTTTTTCAGCCGCGTAAGCGCTATTCGTACCTCGTCATAGTCAGGCGGTGGGACAGCTACTCCATCATAATCGACTGGGGACTCGGGTTCGTCTTCTTCACTACTTTCAGCGCGG